TAGGTTTGATGAGCCTTTTACACTTTATAAATAAATGTGTATACTGACTAGGCACATCCAGTGTATATACATTCTCGAAGAAGTTATCACCACCATTACCACTTCTCTAATCTCCCACATGCTTCACAAGTCCCTGTTAATGGTTTGTGTTTTCTTTCCAGAAGGCCCGTTCCAAGTACTGGGATAAGTGTGGTCACTATACAGAGTTTCCATGGTGTGGAACCAGAACAGGTCTCTGACACACTTCCTTGTAGAGTTAGTCTGATTTTCATACTTTTTGGCATTGTATTTTTTATGAAAATTCCAGTCCTTAAGACTACTTGGATTAAGTTTTAGCAAACTGCTTTAATAAATTGCCTGATCTCTCAGATTTTAATAGCTTATTTTTTTAAGCCACCTCTTTCTTTCATGATCAATGTTAAATTCTCTGCAGGCATCATGAGTTTTCATCATTGGTAGGTTTCTACTATCCTTTCTCTAATTAGATATCAGATTGTTCAGTTCAGTTCAGTTGCTCAGTCATGTCAGACTCTTTGTGACCCCATGGACTACAGCACTCTAGGCTTCCCTGTCCATCACCAACTCCCAGAGATTACTCAAACTCATGTCCATTGAGTTGGTGATGGTGTTCAACCATTTTGTCCTCTGTTGACTCCTGCCTTCAATCTTTCCCAGCATCAGGGATTTTTCCAATGAGTCAGTTCTTCGCATCAGATGGCCAAAGTATTGGAGTTTCAGCTTCAACATCAGTCCTTCCAATGAATATTCAGGACTGATTTCCTTTAGGATGAACTGGTTGGATTTCCTTGCAGTCCAAGGGACTCTCAAGAGTCTTCTCCAACATCTCATTTCTAAAGCATCAATTCTTTGGTGCTCAGCTTTTTTTATAGTCCAGCTCTCACATCCATACATGACTACTGGAAAAACCATAGCTTTGACTAGACAGATCTTTGTTGGGAAAGTAATGTCTCTGCTTTTTAATATGCTGTCTAGGTTGGTCATAGCTTTATTATCAGATTATAATTCATTTAAAAAAGCATAGGAACTCATGAGGCATATTAGAGAAACCCTCATCTTTTCTACTTTCTAACTTCTGCTAAAGGGACAGATTAATTTGCTGATTAAGACTCTGAGTTGAAATTTGAGGCAATTGATTCAGCAGCACTGCCTCCAAATCCATACCTTGCACAGGCTTCTGTGTATCAGCAAATGGCTTCTTCATCCTTTCAGTTGTTCCAGCCAAAATCTTTGCAGTCATTATCTTTTTTCTCATACTTTAACCAATTGATTTTCAACTCTTGCATATCTTTCCTTCAAAATATATCCAGAATATGATTACTCTTCACTACCTTTACCCCATGACAAATGAATTAACTCCAGGAGGAGCCTCTGTGTCCATCAGCCTGTCTGAATGATAAACCATCTACTCTGGTCTTTCCATTTCTCATATAAAATCTTGACATAAAGTCTGATTAGCAAGATGGGTCCTGCTTCACACTACCTTGTCTCACTTTCTGTTGTTCTCTATTTGCTTTGATAACACACAGAAAAGTCTCAAGACACTATTAGGTTAGGGATAGTATGAGTTAAGACCCAAGAACTGCTTCCAAGAAAAGGACTCAACTCTTACCAGCTGGGTATCTCTGTGTTTATGGACATGTGAGAATTTAAAGATGAGAGGAGGAGAAAGAGAAGCAAAGTGTTTTTGTAAAATTCTCTTTTTAAGTTGAGGGGCAATTTTGTATAATGGGTAAACAATATAGAATGGAGAGCCAGTGAGCCTTGGTCTGAATCCTGCCAATAGCCATGTGACCCTGGGATTTTTTCCCCCAGTTTTATTGAGAAAAAATGACATATATCAGTGTAAATTTAAGATGTACAATAAGATGATTTGATTTACATACGTTGTGAAATGATTACCACAGTAGGTTTAGTTAACATCCATCAACTCATGTAGATACAATAAGAAGAAAAAAATTTCTTTCTTTGTGGTGAGAACTCCTAGAATCTACTCTCTTAACAACTTTACTATGTATCATATAGCAATGTTAACTATAGTTACTGTGTTACTATGTTAAATCCCCAATGCTTACTTATTGAATAATTGTAAGTTTGTACCTTTTGACCACTTTCCTCCATTTCTGCCCAACCCCAGTCCCCACCTCTGGTAACCACAAATCTAACCTCTTTTTCTATGAGTTTTTCTTGTTCATTTTGTATTAGATTCCACATATAAGTGAGATCATACGGTATTTGTCTTTCCTTGTCTGACGATTTCAATTACCATAAAGTCTTAAAGGTTCATCCATGTTGTCACAAATGGTAGAATTTCCTCATTTTTTATGACTGAATAATAGTCCATTGTATACGCCACAACTTCTTTATCCATTCATCTATTGATGGGCACTTGTTTCCATGTAATGCTTCTGTGAACATTGGGTACAGATATCTCTTTGAATTAGTGTTTTTATTTCCTTTGGATATATTCCCAGAAATGGAATTGCTGGATCACATGATAGTTCTATTTTTAACTTTTTGAAGGGCCTCCATGCTATTTTCTATTGTGGCTGCAGTACAGAAAATTCTGAAGCTTCTCTTTGTTTCAGTTGCCTTTTTGAGATGGGAGTAAAACTGGCATTTGCCTTATTACATATGGTTGTTATGAAGAAGATTAGGTAAGTTTGTACATATAAAGGAATTAAATAATCTTAATACAGAGTAAGTGTGCATTAAATAGCTTTTTTTTTTTTAAAGAAAAAACCAGTTTTCAAAGTAGCATTGTGGACCTTAAAATTCCTGGTGGCATAAGGATCTATAAACATTTTTGTGATGAACCATATATAGGAACCCATTTCCGTAGTTTAGAGTTCTCCTTTCTTGTGCAGTAGAGAACTGTTTAAAGGGACAGTGGCTACACGTGAAGTGCATTCAACTCCACAGAGTCACAAGGCCTGGAGTGAATCTTAAGTCCATTTAGTCCAATAAATAAAGCAACAGCAAACACTCATTCTTTTATACCATTTAGTCCAATAAATAAAGCAACAACAAACTCGACTCATTCTTTTCCTCCTTGCCCTACAACAAGATAATGCATGTTTGGATGAAGACAGTGGAGTTTGTTTTCAGAACAGCAGACTAGTCTGCAGTGTGCATTTTACAACTGACTGCACCTTAGACTTCAACTAGACCTTTCACTGGAGTCTGATAGAACTGACCATAAAGGAGAGCTACTGCCACAGTTGCCATTCTTTACTCCACATCCTTTTTATAGAAACCTCATCTTAACTGCTTCTCAGAATTTGCTGTCCTTATGTTCTTTTTTATATTAAAAAAATTTTAAATTGAAGAGTAGTTGATTTACAATCTTAATGTTCTTTCTAAACCAACATCAAGGAATATGTAAACAAAGGCAGCAGCAATTAGTTAACAAAGAATGAGGTATTCAGGGGTCTTGCCTGTTGAAAATTGCCCAGCAACATGGGATGGAATAAATCAGGCCAGAGGCTGGGGTAGTTTTAATAAGCTCTTTTGTCCAACGCCCAATCAATTTGACTGATTTCTCTTTTCCTCATTATCTTTCTCTACTTCAGTGTTTGTTTGCTTGTCTAATTGTTTATTTTCCGTTCCTCTACCTGGGATTTTTTCCCCTCAGCTACGTCTTGTGGTCCTTCCTCCACTACATTTTCCTCTTTCCATCTGTACATTGTGGAAGAGGAGATAACGAAACCTTTATATTTTAAATTAGAATATTTCCTAAGTCCTCTGTTTTTCCCTCAGAATCTAAGATTGCTTTTAATTAAGGGGCACTGTGAACTTTTAGTGTGCTTGATGAGAGCATTACTGCTCATTTGGGTAGAATAAGTTTTCACTTGAAACTGTCCCTGGCATCGCAGGATAGTTAACACCCCTGACCTAAGTGCCAAGTGCCAGTGACCCAAAAATGCCTTCCCACATTTCCACACACCCCACAGAGCAGTGGTGGAGCCTCTGATTTAGAACCACTGCTTACTAACCTACTAGAAGCATATCATTCCAGTACTGAATTTGACTGCTCATCATCAGCTGTTCTTTACAAATTGATGGAGCGTCTTAGTTTCCAGAGTTTTTATGACTAGAGAATCTACTACTTGAGCCTTTAAAGCTGTGTCATTTAGGCTATATCTGTCACTTTTCAAAATTCAAGATGTTGGGAAAAGTAAGTTCTTTATTGGTGCTTTGCAGTGCTTAGTCACTCAGTCATATCTGATTCTTTGTGACCCCATGGACTGTAGTCTACCAGGCTCCTCTGTCCATGGGGATTCTCCAGGCAAGAATACTGGAGTGGGTTGCCATGCCCTTCTCCAGGGGATCTTCCTTACCCAGGGATTGAACCCAGGTCTCCCTCATTGGAGGTGGATTCTTTACCATCTGAGTTACCAGGGAAACTATATATACTTCATATATATATATACATATATATATATATGTATATATATATACACACATATATCCTTCATATATATATGTATATATATATATACCCTTCATATATATATGTATACTTCATATGTATACTTCATATATATATATTAAGTATCTTAAGGAAAACATTAGATTTTCATAAGTTATTTGTTTATGAAATGAGTTGTAACTTTCTCAAAGTGTATTCATTTTTAATTTAGAGGATTAAAGTTTATAGCTCAGTAAAGAACCTGCTTGCAGTGTAGGAGACCCAGGTTCGATCCCTGGGTCAGGAAGATCCCCTGGAGAAAGAAATGGCAACCCACTCTAGTATTCTTGCCTGGAAAATCCTAGGAACAGAGGAGCCTGGTGGGCTACAGTCCGTGGGGTCGCAATTGTCGGACACGACTTAGTGACTAAACCACCACCATAGTACAAAGTGCACACACACTTTAGAATCTCTTGTACTAATGATTTGTAAATCTGCACATTGAGTATAATGTTTTAGTTTATATTGTTATACAAGTAATTAAGTTATAAATTTCTTTTTTATATTTCAGAGAAAGAGATTTGAAGAAAACGGGGCACAGGTTCAGCAAAGCCAGGAAGAGAAACAGAAAAAGAAGTAAAAAGCAGAACAGTCATAATAAAATCATGGAGGAAAACTCATTTGAAACCTTAAATTATCTTACACCAGGAGATCAGGACCCATCTCAGAGTGAAGAGGAAGACTTAGAAGAGACCAAAAGGGAGTCGGAGTGTTCCTTAACTGTTGGTCTGAGAAATGAAGTGGGAGATTTTGTGAATGTCCATAAGGATAAAAGACAGGAAGACATAAATTCTGAAAACAGTTTGCCAGATTTTATGCCTGTAGTTGAGTTGGACAGTCCACCAAAGAATTACCTCCCTAAAGATAATGATGACTTGTTTCTAAGTTTGTCATTGATGCCAAATGAAAGTTCTGTTTCTTGTCCAACAGTGACTCAAAATCTTTCCTATGTAGCAAGTGATGACTGTTCTGTCACAGAGGTAGAAAAGCATATTGAAAATAGGAATATCATGACATTAAACACCCAGGACAAATTTGTTGAAGCCCCATGCTCGTTTATGCAGAAGGGAGAGATGGTAGATGAGAGTCTCCTGAATGAAACAAGTCAATGCTATCAATATACATCCGGAACATCAGATAAAGTTTTAAGAAAGGAACAAGCAGTAAATAGAACTAAAAACAATAATTGGGCTTTTTTCTCAAATGATTTGTCTGATGGTGATTTACAGTTGGGCTCTGATAGACAACCCTATTTTGGTAGCTGGCCTGAGGGGCCTTATAAGTTTATATGTGAACAGAGACCAAAGAAAGATAGACGGCAAAAGCTGGCTCATCCTGACAGCAGGGGGCAGTTGATCAAATTGATCTCCACTTCGGAAGGGCCAGGAGACAGTCCAGAAACATTGATAGAAGAGAAGCTATCGATAGAAAGTGAAGACTTGTCATCTCCAACTGAGAATATAGAGTCAGTCATAGAAACAGAGACAAATATCTTTAAAAGCCACTTCTTTAAACTGGATATCCTGAAGAGTACCTTACATTCAACAGAGAATAAAAAGAGGAGGCAGAAAAGGATTTTCAGTTTGGCACCAAACTTTAACTTACTGGCACAGAGTCATACCAATGTAAAAGAAATGGGGAAATGTGACTTGTTAACAGAAAGCCATGGACTAAAAATTATTGTGGAAGAAGAAAAAGATGAAATTTCAGAAATAAATGATGAAGAGAATAAGCAACACATTATGACCTTTGATTATCATCCATCATGGTTTTACTTTGACATTTACTTTGACATTGTCAAAGATTCTCTTCTAAATGTTGGTGGACAATTTTATTCTCATTACCTGCTATTTAATAGAGTAAGGCATTCTGTGTATTTTTACAGAAATCCCATTCCTTCTCTCATGCTACAGTATCCATCTAGCTTTTGGAAGATATCTTTTTCAGGCAAGAAACTGTTTTCAACTTTGAACTCTGAGAGGAGAGTAGATGATAAACCAAATGATGTAAGGTTTACATCTTCAGAAATTTTAAGTAGCCAGCCTGATACTTTGTACTCTTTTGGCATCACCTCTGATCTGCACTCCTTAAATAAAAGTTTTGTTGAAAAGCTAAAGACATGGGAAGAACCTCAGCCTTTACCGTTCCTACACAGTCAGGATAACCAAGATTTAACAAGCCCTGACTACTTTGATTCCCTTGAGCTACCATTATCACAGGAGTTTGCCTTTCAACTTGTAAAGCTTTTTGGATCTCCTGGAGTTCCAGTGGGTAAATTGAGTTTATTTGGTACAAATAAAAAGTCCAATTTAATATATGCAAGTGATTTTTGAGGTGTTTCTACCTCGTGTTAGTGATTTCTTGCAGTTAACTGATCTTGCGATGCTTTTCAGAGGTGGAAGTAGAGGATGTATAGCAAATGGTGCTTGATGGAGTCAAGCCCCCACTCGCACCGCCAGGATGACTGGTAGTCTGAAATGTCTTTGAGCATGTGGAATACTTGGACTCTCAATTTAAACAGACAGTAGGAAGAATGAAGAATGAGACAGTGTGCTAACAGTGATTGGTAACAAATAGAGATGGACTGCTTTATTTTTGGAAAAAATTTTCTGCTTTCTGCATTTCCCTTGTTTGGCATATGACCCTTTCTCTTTCATAGTTGGGCTTATAGATATGAGAATAGTAAAATGATGGACAATGAAAATTAAGTGATGAAAAAATACCTGAAATCAGTTTAATTTTTAAAGACTGTCTGAGAAGGGTACTGAAAAGAAGGTTAGGAAGGAGTCTGACTGGTTGACTTACTTTTTTTAAATATTATAAGTAATATTATTATAATATTATAAGTAAATATTCTAAGTACATTTCCTCTAAATAATATGCCTATTTAAGATACTGAATATCTTAAAAAGTAAATGAAGAACATATCCCAATTTTTCCTTGTCTGTAAGTCAGTTGCATATGTTAATGATTTTATGCAATTATATGTCCCCTTCCTTGGGGACAGAAGCTGTAAGAGCCAAGAAGTAAAGCTCCAGTCCCTGCATCCAGTATCTTCCTGATACTCTTTTTCTTCTGCACCTACCACTGAGCCTGGGATTCCCTCACACTTTAACTTGCAGTGGTTTTAGCTTTGCTCCTGAACTTCTGCTGTTTTCTACATATTTGGTTAACTCAGCTCAGACCCAAGATTGGTTAAATCTCAGAGTCTGAGGACTCACAACTATCAACCTGTTCTGGTGTCATTCTTACCATTTTTGTAAACTTTGTGAATAATCACATTGTTACTATTTGCTGCCATTTTCTATTCTCCTAGAAGCACCAAAGAAACATACCAATTTTAAAAGTTAAATTGCATTTGCTTTTAAGCCAGGAATCTTTTTCCAAAGTTCATATTCTGAAATTGTATCTGAAATTGTATGCAAAATTCTTTGTGTCATTTTGTGCCATTTTTTCTGGGAGAAAGTCCTTAGATTTTATCAGGTTCTCAGGGATGTCTGTGACCCAAAAATGTTAATAATCACTGCCTTAGACCAGCACCAGAAAGCATGAAGGCACTAGTGGGAAAAGATTCTAAACCTCCTCCCCTGAATGTACAATACCATCATAATCAACAATAATGATCCACCATCCATTAATTAAGCTTTGGAAAGCTTTTTAGAGGAAATAGACCTCATTCATCAAGTAGCTTACCTTCTAAATGGGGAGACAAGACTAACACAAAACAAAATTATTGTGCCTAGAAAATCTAAATGATAAGCTTATGAATATTTTATGAGTGAGGTTAGTTGTGCCAAAGGGATTGTAGAAGAGAATATCGGGTTGTGGTTTTGTCTGGGATGGCTCCAAATGGCAGTGAATTGTAAACTGTGCTTATATCATACAAATGTGACTTAAAAGAAAAACAGAGGGAAAGAATTTTACATTTGGAAATAGTGTATGCTTGAAAAATTCTTGCCTGGCTAATCCCATGGACAGAGGAGCCTGTCAGGCTGCAGTCCATGCGGCTGCAGAGTAGGACCTCTTTGTGAAATGAGGTCTGAGCACGAGCACTGCAGAACATGCTTAAAAAAGGAAAGGAGGAAACTCTAAGTGGAGGCTGTAAACCAATTCGTTTACAGCCAAAGGTCGAAGGAGCAAAGCTCTGGCGTATCTACGGTCTTGTCAATAAGACAGGGAACTTGAATTCTATTATTAGAAAATCTGTAGACACAGTAGGATTATATAGTAACCATATATAGACCTGAAAAAACCAAGCTACTCACGTTGCTAGGGATGTGCAAGTATAGGAAGAATATCTTGTATGGTTTATTTCATTTTTTTCTCTTTTTTTCTTGTATGGTTTAATTTGGCTGATTTGTTTAGATCAATGCAAGGACTTGCTTATGAGTATCTTAATTGTCAGGATTTTCCCCCCATACACTCTTTTTTTTTTCATTTATTTTTATTAGTTGGAGGCTAATTACTTTACGTCATTGCAGTGGTTTTTGTCATACATTGAAATGAATTAGCCATGGATTTACATGTATTCCCCATCCCAGTCCCCCTTCCCACCTCCCTCTCCACCCAATCCCTCTGGGTCTTCCCAGTGCACCAGGCCCGAGCACTTGTCTCATGCACCCAACCTGGGCTGGTGATGTGTTTCACCCTAGATAATATACGTGTTTCGATGCTGTTCTCTTGAAACATCCCACCCTCGCCTTCTCCCAGAGTCCACAAGTCTGTTCTATACATCGGAGTCTTTTGCATATAGGGTTATCGTTACCATCTTTCTAAATTCCATATATATGTGTTAGTATACTGTAATGGTCTTTATCTTTCTGGCTTACTTCGCTCTGTATAATGGGCTCCAGTTTCATCCATCTCATTAGAACTGATTCAAATGAATTCTTTTTAATGGCTGAGTAATATTCCACGGTGTATATGTACCACAGCTTCCTCATCCATTCGTCTGCTGATGGGCATCTAGGTTGCTTCCATGTCCTGGCTATTATAAACAGTGCTGCGATGAACATTCCCCCATACACACTTATGTGGAAGGAGAAATTTGCAAGAAGACTAAACTTGCTGTACTTGATTATTCTATACAATGTCTCAGGAAAAGATGCCTTCCTAAATTTTATGCCCTGTGACAGTACCACTTGAAGCTGCTGATGTGTATATATTTGTATTTACACTAGAATATGAACTAAGATACACATTACTTTACATATACACATAGGCATTTTTATTGAGTCTGGGTAGTGTTTGCTAATAGGAATCTGAGACAAACTAATTCCTGCTTTAGCTGTCACTGAAATATCTTCAAAACCAGGCTTTTATCATGGAGGTCTAGATACCATATTTGCATATCTTCATATTCAGGGTAAAAGTATGTGTGACAGGAGAGATGAAATTTGTTCTCTTCCCCCCGCACCCAGAATCTTTGTTGCCAGAAGACTGTGTGGTTCCCCTCGACTGGAAGACACTGAAGATGATCTACTTGCAGTGGAAGACATCAGTAGAGGTATATTTTTATGCTTTCAAAGATCTCTAACTGCTTTCTCTTTTTTTATTATTAATTTTTAATGCAAGTTTAAAAAGTTACTTTCCATTTATAGTTATTAGAAAATACTGGCTATACTCCTTGTGTTGTATAATACATTCTTTTTAAAATAATTTTATTTGTGTATGTATTTATTTTTGGCTGCTCTGGGTCTTTATTGCTGCACGTGGACTTTTTCTAGTTGCGCAGAGCAGGGCCTACTCTCAAGTTGCAGTGCGTGGGTTCTCATTGCCATGGCTTCTCTTGTTTCAGAACCTATAGGCTCTAGTAGGCTATGTAGGCTACAGTAGTAGGCTCTAGTAGGCTACAGAACCACAGGCTCAATAGTTGTGGCACACAGGCTTAGCTGCTCTGCAACATGTGGAATCTTCCTGGACCAGGGGACCAAGCCCATGTCCCCTGCATTGGCAGGTGGATTTCCAACCACTGGACCACCAGGGAAGTCTGTATAATACATTCTTCAGCTTATCTTACACCCAGTAGTTTGTACCTCCCACTTTTCCACCCTTATATTGCCCCTGCCTCCCATAACCACTGGTTTGTTCTCCATATCTGAATCCTTTTTTTTTTTTGTTTTATTAATTAGTTTGTTGTATTTTTAGGTTCCACATATGATGTTTATAGTATTTGTCTTTTCCTTTCTGATTTATTTCACTTAGCATAATGCCCTCTAACTGGTTTCTTAAAAAAAAAGAAATCCTATTCATCGAATGTAACATGAAGAGCTACATCCTTTGTGTTAGAGAAAGGATGTATGTGAATGGTTGGATAATCTATGCATGTTTCTTTCAATTAGTCCCAGAGAGAAAGTTGCATTTAACTCCCTAACGTTGTTGTAGTGTAGGCTGGTATAAGGGTCAACTGTGGGTGACTGAGGTGCCTGTTATAGGAGAGTCATTTATTTTTCTTTATATCTTTTTCTTCTGTCCACTCCTCAATCTTGTTATAATAGAGTAACAGCTACAAATTAGATTTATATTTACTTAACTTGGAAGCACCTCATTATTGGTACGTTCTAGTGGTCCATGACAGTTCTGACAGGCTATTAATTTTCCAGGCAGCTGGAGGAGGACTGGCTGAGAAGGTTAGAAAGGTAACAGAGACTCTGGAAAAGCCAGTCCTCTGTTTCTTGTAATGAGGAGATGCTGGGATTCTGTTTATGTTAGTTGGTAGTTACTTAAATGTGCTCAAGGGCAATCAATGCTAGAGGTACATTTTGAAATGAATAGTAAAATCAAGGTTTAGGGAACCATTATAGAATTACATGTTCAGGATAGTAGGTATTTCTTATCTTTTCATGTAAACACAGCTGTGGGAAAAGTAGATTCATTTGTGTGCTCAGGTAGTAAAACCAAATACATTTTAAAAAATTTCTTATTTCTCCTCATTTGCATGGAGACCTTGTTGCTACCTAAATACATACATACAAACACACAAACACATGGATACTTTAAATGTTTAAACTGACATTTGTGTTTATTAGGTTTCTTTTTCATTTGAGGAGTGTTCCTATGTGAGTTAAATGATGGTGCAAAACTTAACCCCAGTGCCCTATATTAATCATTATTATTATATGTATTTTAATTATAATTTCTAGAAAAGACAGAAGAAGATTGGTTAAAAAAAATGAGAACTCCTTAAACTGTAAGTACAACTTATTCCAGAGACCTGTATATGATCAGAAGGAAATGGATGTTGACATTATTTGGTTGTAATAGCTCATATGTACAATAGAAGAGTAAATACAAAAAATGTAGTCTGTTACCATAGCAACCATGTGTGCTGTTGCACATGTGATGTTTTATTTCCTTTAAATGTAGATCTTTTTGTGAAATACAACAAAGCTTAGATTGTTGCTACCAAATTTATTTTCCAACTTTATTTGTTAGAATATATTTTAGAGCATTCTGTCAATACATAGTTTATGATGAATTCTCTTCCCACCCCCCACAGATTGATATGTGATGAGGACTGGGAATTAGGGATATAGGTTATATTTAAATATTAAAAGATTCTCTAGGAAAAGAGGTAAAATATGTAGACAAATGCATGTTATATTTTAAACTTGACACAAACTGACATTAAAATAAAAACATTGCACTTTTTTTCAAATGCCTAAATTATGAATTAAACACAGCTGCTACTATTTCAGTATATATCTGCACTTGATAAGAATTGAATGTACTCTGCATTAACCATATGTTTTCTCTTTTCATTATAACTCTTATTTCTAAGAGTATTCTGTGTTTCCATTTCTCAGCTAACTAGAAACGCACATATGCCCAGTAAAAATATTTCTGTTTGTTTTAAACTAGGTTCTGCTGAAAGAAGGGGAAAGACTAAAGATTTGGGAGAAAGGAAACACTAGAAAATGTGGGATAGATAGAGGAGGGGAAGAGATTCCAGAGAAAGGACATGAACAAATTCATTCATTTGTTCAAGTGTTTATTGAGTTGCCTCAGTTTAGACATTTTTCTACACACTGAGGATGTAGCAGAGAAAACTGGCCTCATGGAGTTTATGTGAGGATTGAAGTTAGGAAGCCAGTGTTTACCTTTCCCCTCAATGTGACACCAGGATAAACAGCACACAATAAGCATGGGCATATTTCCAGTGGCTAATTTGGTGGGTCTTTTCTATCTGCTGATTTTGTGTCAAGGACACTTTATGAACCATACTTTTGATTTTTGTGTTCATCTTTTACATTCATGCTAAACTGACTGCCCTCTGTGAACCTCATAGAGCAGGCATCCCTAATTATTAGTCTTCTCTTGTTGGGAAATTTTATGAGTGCTATGTACAGCATTTTTATAATTGTAATGAGAATGGGCCTTTTGGTTTTGTCTTTGGCATAATGATCAGTGGGCCTCAAGTGGTAAACAGAAATTAAAAAGAAGGAAATAGCTAGAGAATGTGGTTGGCTCTTGGAGCCTCAAATCCTCTGCCTGCTGGTGGCCAGAGTGTTTATACTGCCTCACTCCTTTAAGGAGGTAGGGCAGCCTGCTGGAAAGAGGATGGGTTCCCATCTTGAAGCTCCTGCCGACCTGCTATGTGACCTTAAACAAATTGCCTTCTCAAAGCTGCAATTTTTTCACCTGAAAAAAAAAAAACAGGTTTATGATACTAATCTGTCATGGGGATATTAAATGAGGATTAAATGAAATAACTTGTGCAACCTTTTTGAAAAATAATAAGCTCTTAGTAAGGGTTAATTCCCTTCCCCTGAGTATCTTTGTTGGTTGCAGCTTTGATTTGAAATGCCCCTGGCAGAGCAACGTATTGACTTAATAAACTTGTTAACATATTTGCATGAATTAAGTGTATTTATTTTTAACTTTACAGTGTAAAAAAGCTGGATCATCAGGGAATGGGACATAGACCAGGCTTTGATTTAGAAACAGAAGGTTGGGCAAAATCCAGAGGACAGGCTCTTGAATGAAGCGAGACCAGGCAGGGTATGGGGGCTGTGGGACAGTGTGAAATTCTGGATGCTGGGTTGGGCGGGGCGCATAAATAGTCATGAGCTTGGGAAACTGATGACAAACTCCATTCCTGTCACCATTCTGTCTGGACTTGTCTGGGCTTGTGTTTGTTTGCAGTTGAATTCTCCATCTTCCAGGTACTGTTGAAGATCCTGATCATCAAGAGAGAGAGCTCGGCGCCAACCCAAAGGATAATGTAGAGTGTTATAGTCATTGGACTGAAATTGGTTTGAATAATCTGTTCAACTATTCTGATCAGTTTCCTGAATACTAATAAAAAACTCAGCAAAAGAGGTAATAACTTCAATAATTTATTATCTAATTTTGAAGATATTTGCCCTATTTTATTTCACGAAGAAAATAAGACCCAGGAAACTTGAGTAGATTATTTTTAAAATTGCATCAGAATAGAAGGATAGGCCCCTTTATCCAAATGTGGGTCCATGATTCCATTTCTAGAATTTCAAATCCAGAAAGCTCTGAAAACCAAAAGTTGTTTTGTTTCTTAAATGTCTGGCATTAAAATTAAGTTGGAAGCAAAATTTGACCTAAACAGTCAAGTTAGTTTTACTCCTTATTTCCCCCAGGTAGTATGACTTTTCAGACATTTCACTGGAGAAATATTAATGTGTTTAATTACCAGGGGTGCCCTAGACCCCACTAAAAACTTTCTGAATTCTGAAACAATTCTGACCTCAAGGATTTTGGTTAGGGATTGTGGGACTTACACTATGCTACAGTAACTATTATTTTTATTATTGCTATTATTTCAGTTTAATTGTACTTAACAGATTTCAAATATGAAAATTCATATTTGAAAAACAAGGTGTGATGTCTCATTATTCAACATGTAGGCATTTATGTAATCCCTCTGTTTTTGGAAAGAGAGCATTGCCTGCCTTATCTTACCTTCTACTCTTCTCATCCTGTTTTATCTTCTCCAGGGAATAAACCTCCAGACTTCTCTAGAGGGCTGCCCGACTGTGTGGATGTCTGTTTCTTAAACAGACTTTTAACTAACTTTCCTGTTTAGAGCCCCACCTCCAGCCCTGAATTTTCCAGTTCCTGAAATTTTAGGTGTTATGCAGAGTAAATGGTATTTCTTCTTGACTTTCTATAATTCAAGTTTTGTTTCTTAATTGTTTTTCCAAATTAGTTAACACTAGGCCTTTTGCTTTCCAGTTTTTAATTATTTTGTTGCTGTGACCTTTTTTCTTACAGTTTATATTAATACTTAAAAATAATACTCATATCCCCCATTCTCCTAACACTCCCTTCCGCCCTGCCCCCCGGCCAAAAAAAAGCCTCTACATTCTCCTGGGGTTTCAATGAGAGACTGGAAGCTAACTATTTGTATTCCATCTGCTTGATTGGGAATTGAGTGTTTTATTTAAAATAGCTCAACATTTTCCGTAGTTCATTTTGTACAGTTTCAGTTTATCTTTCTGCTAGACCATAAGTCTGATCCAGACAGAGACCAAGGTCTCCAGTGTTTGGTTGAACTCCCTGAGATCTTGCTCTTTGTGCAGGCTCCTAGTGCTGTTGTGAAACTGGACTCACCTTTGGCCTAGGATGGGATGATTTCAGACAAGAGATAATCAGTATTAGGGTTGAAACACAGATGGCTGCAGAGGAGACTCTGGCATCTGACAAATCTTTGCTTTCTTAGGCCCTTCAGTAGCAACATTTATGGGTTTCTAATGAATATGCCACCATGGCCGTGCATAAGGGTAACAGTATAAATATTTAACAGTGAGTGTGGCATGGCTAATGACCAATTCTGAGACTCTGTGCTGTATTGAAGCGTATCTGCTAACTATCCACCCAGGCTTGTACTTAGGGTCCAGGATGCCCCCAGCTTTCTCCAGCCACTGCCTTTATTACCTTGCCCTAATTTCCAGAATGGAGCTTTAGAAAAATGGGCTGGGACTACTTTCCCCACCTCCCAGGCTTCCTCTTCAAAGCTTATACTCCTCAAGTGTCCCTATGCACAGTGGCAAATACTTGGTGCTGCAGAAACAGATTATTGTTATTGCCTAGGGAGAGGAGTATGATCTCAAATAGAGAGAGGGATGGAATGTAGGAGGCAGAGGTAATGTGATGTTAGAATGAGCAAAGTCAGTTTTATCCAGAGGACATTTCTGTGTTGGCAGAGTTATCCCAGGCCACCAAGTCCTGAGCATTTCCCCTACTGATTCAGCCCAGCAGACACTCTGCATGACTGCCCTCCCATTGTCCCCCTTCCCTAACCTCTTCCAGCTTCCTGTATCCTTCATCCAGCTTCTAGGGGAAGGACGAGGGAAGAGCCAGGAGGAAGGAGTTTTAAGTAGAGAGGCGCTACCTCTGAATGGCCAAATAGTGCAGTGCAGACTGGTGGAAGGTGAAAGCTGCAGGTGCTAGAGCAACGAGGGGTCCCCCAGAGAAACAGCTAAACAGGAACAGATGGATGCTTCCCTATTCTTTCAGTTCATGTCATATATATATATATATATGTAACAAGGTAAAAATTTATATAAGACATTTTTTTGAGTAAAAAAATCTATCAAAACTTTTGGTAGGGAAATCAGATAAAAGCTTTTGGTAGGGGAAGAAAGGACATAGAATGAGAATTGAGAAGCTACTACCTCTGTATTTTAAATGGTTCTACTCTGTTACAGGGTCTTTGCTTACACTGCTTTGGAAGCTTCATCTTGGTTTCAGACTTTCTGCCATATGGCATCTGCAGGGGAGAAACTTGGGGCTGATTTAAGCATTCCAAATTGTGGAGTATTTGGAACTGTAGGTTCAAGGGTTAAATTTCCGGTTTCCATGAGCTCTTCCTGTGTACCCCCTTGTTTTCCCACATCTTGTTAAACAGTAATAATTAGAGAAAGATTTGAATGTTTCTTTGCTTGCCAAAAACTACTTCTAAGATTATTTTCTTTACCTCATCAAGGTAATGGTTTGTAGGACAGCAAAGTGAGATTGTGCTGGTCATCACATTCTAGAGAAATGGAATAGAACTTCAGAGCTGAAAAACCTGGTTGGATGAACTGAGGGCACGAAGGGGTGTTAATCGCAGGGATCCTCTGACCCAGGGTAGCCCTTCTCTCTGGAGGCTGCCACCTCGTTAGGGCCAGCGAGGATCTGACCGTGGACGTTATCTGAGAGTACTGTGGCCCTCAGAACTGCTGATGTGGTCACTGACTGTGTTTACATTACTCCTCAATTGAAGTTGTCCCTATCTTTGTTCAGTCTTAGTCTTTAGTAAAGCCCACCCTCAGACTCATTTACTGAGAAGGCAGTTCAGGTCCATATACAATTATTGAGCACCTCTGAATGTCAGACGCTGTGTTAGCTCTTGGGGTGACAAGGGTGACACTGTCTTTGCCTTTGAACTTAGTCTAGTGGGAAGAAACAGATACACAAACAGCTTTAAACAAACTGTGGTTCTGAGGAATAAATTGGGGAAAACAGAGCCTATTGACCAGTTAAATCTGAGAGCAAAGAGAAAGGAGAAGTGTCTAGGGTCACTTTCAGATACTGCCAGCCATTTTCTCCTCCTCCAGCTCTCCCTCCCTGGGCTTTACACACTTTCTTAGAGTTCTGTCTGTCCCTTGTACTTTCTTTCAACAGATCCACTTTGGGGGGGTGGTGCACAGACCTTAAGTGTGATCCCGAAGCCCCGACTTCAGCTGTCTGCTCTATTCTCCATCTTCGTACAGGGCAGGAATTTCCAAAGCGCTTGCCTCCAGCTCAAGACCTCTCTTCTCACAGCACACTCACACTTCCCAGCACCTCCTTCAGTGCTCCAGCTGCCAGCGACACTGCAGTCTCAGTGTGCCCAAACTTCTAGTCCCCAAAGCTGTGTGTCCTCCTGCTGCCCCATCCATGCTGCCTGGGACACCCTCTACAGAAGGAAAGAGAAATGGACAGAAGTCTCATGCAACACTGTCCAATGGAAATATGTCAGCCACATACATAATTCAGACTTTTCTATTGGCCACATTAAAAAGTAAAAAGAAACATGAAATTAATAATATATTAACCTAATGTACTCACCATACTATCAACACATGAATATAAAAGTTATTGAGATATTTTACTTCATTTTTTTCATATGGAACCTTCGAGATTATGTATTTTAATCTCACTTGAAAGTGAAAAGTGAAAGTCATTCAGTTGTGTCCAACTCTTTGTGACTCCATGGTTCAGGCCAGAATACTGGAGTGGGTAGCTGTTCCCTTCTCCAGGGTATCTTCCCAACCCAGGGATGGAACCCAGGTTTCCTGCATTGCAGGCGGATTCTTTACCAGCTGAGCTACCAGGGATGCCCCAATCTCACTTGGACCAGTCATATTTCACCTGTGGCTTGTGACTCCTGTATTAGAGAACACAAGTCTAGAATGGAAAGGTAGTATTTGAGGCTGGGCAAAAAGTTCTTAAGAAGTATACTAGGATACATAGAAGTATATGGTATGATATACATGATAAGCATCACTATTTTTATGATTCATCTATAGTCTCTGTTCCTTATGGTTTTCCCCTAATATTTAGAGAAGCTTTTGAAATTTCAGTGTTTCTCAGCAGTGCTAAAAATCCTTGCTCCAGTGCTGGAAAGGGATATGTCAAGAGAGAGTAGCTCACCTCCCTGTCTTCCCCTGCCCCTCTCTAGTAGAACCCCAAGAGGAAGGTGAAATTGTGAGCATAGAGCCCCTCCCTACTTGGAGAGTGCCTTCCAGAGCTCATTGTGCAATTCCTGGGTTTTGTTTTAGAAGTAAATTGCTTTTCTTCACAGTTCCTTTTCAAAATTTTCATACCTTAGCTGCCAGAAACAAAATGTATTTGCTTTACAATGGTTATTACAGCCCAAGCCACCATATATCTGGGATTTTTCCAAGATGGTGTTAATTTTCAACATTGTCTCTTTCAGTCCATGCGTCTTGGATTTTAGTTCAGAAAATAGGATCTTTCTATCACACTCTTGAGTGTGAAATATTGGAAAGTACTGTGGTAATCAACCAACTGGCGCTCACCAGTTCCCGGAACTTAGAACTAAATTCTGGATGCTTCTCTCTAGTGTCAGTAGACTGCTCCTTTCCCTGGGGAGCTGAAATAGTTTCTGGGGAGACCACGGCTTTTCAGGCAACAAAGCGTGTACCTGGGCAGTAACCCTTCTTTCTCAGGAGGCCTAGTTTATACTACTGTTCATAAATCTATCTGAGTTTTAAGGGGTGCCTTGTTTTGAAGAAGAAATTTCTAAAGTTATGTAGAAGCAACAAAGCTTTCTAAGAATATTTTTGGCAGGCTGATAAAGAAGAATTAAAAAAAAAAAAAGGAATTATACAGGTCCTGGGAGAGTGGCATTAGCCATTGGGACACCAGCCAGATATTGGTGCTCACAAACTGGGGAAGACTATGGTTTTTACTGTTACTGTTCAAAATGCTGTTCACGTTCTCTTCGTCAACTAAAATTATTTCACTTTCAAGGCCTAGTGGGCGGTGGGACGGGGTAGGGCTTTTGCAGAAGGCCTGCCTTCTACGCGGGCGGCCCGGGGAAGTGCCCAGGGTCCCGCTCGGTGGGCCCAGGGCGACGGGCGCAGGGAGGCACGGGCTGGGCTGGAGGTGAGGGTGGGCGGTGGGGGGGAGTGGAGGTCGGTCGCCGAGGTTTTCGTGGCTGTCAGTCTCCCAGCGTCCCCGGCTTTCCAGGTAGGGACGACCCCTCCCACGCAGCGCGGTTCGGGCGGGTGGGAAGGAGGGGCTGGGCTGCGAGCGCCCGCCCCTCCATCTATCACATGGCCGGAGAGCCACAAAAACAACAGCTTTGGCCAAGACCGTGACTTCAGGAAAGGGAACGCAGGGTTCCCGCCACCAGCCCCCACCCCATGGAGGAGAGTTTTCTTGAATCCTTTGGGAGGCTGAGCCTCCGGCAGCAGCAGCCGCAGCCGCCTCGGCCGCCAGCTCCGCCGCCCCCGCGTGGAACACCTCCGCGCCGCCACAGCTTTCGGAAACACCTCTACCTCCTGCGAGGCCTCCCGGGCTCGGGGAAAACTACACTGGCCAGGTAATGATGCGCTGCGCGCCGAGTGCCCGCAGGGCTCCGGTCCAGCCCGCGCCTGCCGACGGGAAGCCGGGCCACCCGGTTCCCGGCCGGGCCGCGGGCCTGAGACGCGGGGGCCCATGCCGCGGGTTCCCAGGCTGCGCCCTCGCGGGAGGACGGTGGTCAGCACAGCGCCTGGCGCAAGCCTCCATGGCACCGCCCCCCACCCCGCGCGGACCTCGCCAGCGGGGCTGGACGCCTTCACCCCGACTCTCGCAGCCGGGGGTCGGGGGGCCCAAGGGCAGCCCTCTTCGGGAAAGCCCGATGGCGACTGCAGAGGAGATCGCCGGGCCGCCCGCTGGCGCGCAGGCACCCGCCACAGTGCGTCAACAGGCGTTTTAAACCGGAGCGGAGACGCTCGGGGGCCCGGGGTCGGGGCTGGGCCAGGGCGCGCGATCTGTAGAATATCTGGCGGGTGGAGGCAGCCCCGCGTGTCCTTTGGCGACTGCGAAGGCGCACAGGTGCCCCGGAGAGGGGGTCGCGTGGCCTCGCAGGCCGTCACCGACACAGCCTTTCAACTGTGCCCAAGGCGCCCAAATTAGTTTACCCGCGAATTGCGTCAGCGGCCCCCGTACCGGGTCAGCGTGAATGACACGGGCTTGTTGCCTTGGCCACCTTGCTAGGCCTGCCGCTCAAGCCTCAACTCCCACCACTCTACAGCGTTGAACTGTTTCTCTCCTTGGCTTTGCTGACGCTGGCCCGCCCGCCTGGTTTGCCTTTGCCTGGCTTGCCCTCCGCTGCCCTTTGCCTAACCGATTCCAACAGCGCTTTAAGACTCTCCTCTGTTATCCTCGTCCTCTGGGCTCCTCCGCTTCCTGTTTACACCTTGGGCTTTGCTCAGTGCTACACATGGTTTTGTTTATCCTGGAAGTTTCTTGAAGGTGGGGGCCATATCTTATCCTGCAAAAGCACGGTGTCAGGCAGTAGTATGTGTTCAGTCGAAGTGGTCCCTGGCCCTCAAAGAGCTTTCCATCTCACCAGAGACATAAGGCTATAAGCTAGCTGTAGAATCACGGGGGCTGGCTGTGGAACTGTGGAACCTTAGAAAAAGAATCCAGGTGGCAGCGTACAGTCAGAAGCGGATTTGAATGGTACACAAAGAACATGGGAGGAAGGGCTGGGTCCTTTAGGGTCAGGGAAAGATGAGAGCCCTGGGGATGTGCTGCCAGTTTTAATTAGGATTCCTGGTTGATCTGCTTTTAGCAAAACCTTATTGCTACATTTTCACAGATTCAAGGGACAAGTGACTTCCAAATGGCCACTGGTACCCTTTTCTAAGAACCACACACATTTCAATAAGTCTCTCTGTATGAGTGGAGAATGGGGAAGCCTTCCTGGAACCTGGCAGAACTTGGTTATTTTATGATACAGCCATGGTGGGTACATCTCTTACCAACCAAATACCTCCTGCAGTCCAACCCTGTTCAGTTTTTCTTTGGCCTTGCTGACCTGTGGCCTCTCACACACTGTGTCCAAGAAGTAAATAAACGTCTTTGGCCAGATTTTGTTTAGAGCTACCCAGAGGAGAGTAATACTGTGAGCGCTAGGTGCACAGAATTGAATAGCAGAAGTGGTGGGTTTTGGGTCTCACTTTCTTCATCTCCAGAGCTAGTGCGTTGGCCTGGTTTATCTTAAGGTCCCTTCTGGCTCTGACATCTACACGTTTAAGATTTTAATTCCTGGTTGACTTTGGCTAAGCGGAGGACACTGGATAAGAGAACAACTTATTAAAGCATCTCTCTCTAGGGATGGCTGCCATGAGCACTGGTCTGGAAGTCTGAAGATTGTGCCTTTAGATCCTCACTGTCACAAGGCAGTTGGTGACTTTGGACAGTCACCTAGCTTTTCTTTACTTTCCTTGTAAGTGAATAGTAAGACAGAGATTAAGTTAGATGATTTACTGAAGATCTTTCTAGCTCTTAATTTCTAATTGTAAGACTTAAAAGTGTTTTGTTAATAATGGCTAGGTAAAGAGCTCTGAACTTTGAGTCAATTTATGGCTTTTCTTTTTTTTTTGGCCGCACCCAGTGGTTCATGGGATCTTAGTTCCTGAAACAGGGATCAAGCCTGTGCCTCTGCATTGGAGGTGCAGAATCTTAACTACTAGGCCACTAGGGAAGTCCTAATTTATGGCTTCAAATCTAAGGTCTGCCATGGAATAGCTGTGATCTCAACTCCTCAATTTCCTTCCCTGTTAAACAGGGAAATCTGCTCCGCCTACTTCAGAGGACTCTTGTGAGGATTACATCTGTGTGAGAGAACTTGTTAAACCTTAAACCGCCATATGCATTTTAAGAGGCATTCATTTCTGCTGAAGATGTTGACCAGCTGAGATCATCTTCATGGTGTTCCTGGGGAGAAGCCTGACTCTGAAGTGAAGTAGGCAGCTGGGAGCTGACGTTGTGAGTTCTCTTAATAGGCTGGACATGGGCAATTCTGAGAACACAGAACTTGGGCCCTGCTTTGGGGTGGGTTGTGCATTTTTTTTTACATTTAAAAAAAAATATTTATTTGTTGTAGCATGGGGGATCTTTTTTAGTTGTAGTATGTGGGATCTAGTTCCCTGACCAGGTATCGAACCTGGGCCCTCTGCATTGGGAACAATGAGTCTTAGCCGCTGTCCCAGGGAAGTCCCTGGTTTGTGCATTTACATGGAAATCAGGAGAGCAGGCAAGGATACAAGCCACAGCTCAGCAAGGAAAGAGGCCTGCAGTGAGGATGCGGGATGTCACAGGCCATTTGTGGGGAGAGAAGGAGGATTGCAAATTGTTTTAAAAAAATACACGTAGGTAAGAAAGTAGTAAAAACTGTAAGGCTATCATATGTATTGTTGGATTCTGGGAAATTCATATTTTTATTATTCTATGTATATTCCAAATTTTCTATAATGAGCATGTATTTCTTGAATCAGAAAAATAAAACTTAAAAAAAAATGGGAGGAGATCTGTTTTTACAAATGCAGGTTCATCTTTTTTTCTACTTTCATTTCTCATTTGATTAAAAAAATAAAAATGCTTTTGAAATTAGGCTCTGTCTGGTCTCCCAAATCAATGTTAGATTTCTGTGTTTTTCATCTGTATGTTTTCACACTTTGCAGGGACTGGAATGTGGAAACCATTATTTAAATTCCTTGGGCATGTTAAAAAACAGTTGAAGTTTTTAATCTGCCTTAAAAATTTTAAGTAAACCAGAGTACTAAAAAATTAGCTTCTCTGCTATATGTGTTTTATCACCTCTGTTTCATTTAAAAAGCATTTCAAAAATAGGTTATTGTCATTGGCCTGTAAACTCTACTTCCAGGAATTCATCCTAAGGCAATCACTGGACAAGTGCATGAGATTAGAGGGATGTTCAGCACAGAGTTTTGATGTCCTAGAAAAAAATGTGAGCCAACTTAAGTGTACAAAATAGAGGATTGGCTTATAAGTCACGTGTCATTCATGAAAACATGGATGTACGTTTGACATCTATGTTCTAATATACACAAAAATTCCATTTTCTGTTTTAAGAAATATGTAGAAAGATAGGGATTTATAGTTGTTGATTTTAGGCAGTGGATAGAATATAGACTTTTGCCCCTGACTTTCTCAGTTTTTCCATAACAAGTACATATTGTTTGTAAACTTTTTAAAGGTGAAAATAACTTTTTAAGTTAGCTGAAAATAGTTTTATTCAATAACTTTGCTCGATAGACATAGGTTGTATGATGAAGCATTTATTAAAAAACCAAGTAAATAAGTAATTTTTTATATAAAGGGCTTCCCTAGGGTTATTCTTGTCTTAGACATACCAGGAAGTTTTTTTAATGTGTAAGAAGACTGATTTTAATTACCCAGGGCTATTAATTGTTTAATTATGAACTATTTTATTACATTTTATTAGCCTATGAACTAGTATAGATCATTTGATTGAACACCTCAGGTTCTTTTTCATTAAAATGGAACTAATATTCCTTTAGTTAGTTTATTGTGAGGATTTAAGATATTGTGGTAAACAATGATCCTGTGACTATGAATGTGAAAGCACTGTAGAATGTGTGGGCTACATAAATACCAACTATTGTTAATTATTTGATAGTCAACAATAGCAGTATTTCCTAAGTACTGATAAGACTATTAACACCTCAGATGGTAAAGAATCTGCCAGAAATGCGACCTGGGTTCAATCCAGGGTTGGGAAGATCTTCTGGAGGAGGGCTTGGCAACCCACTCCAGTATTCTTGCCTGGTGAATCCCCATGGACAGAGGAGCCTTGTGGGCTGCAGTCCATGGTGTCTCAAAGAATTGGATATGACTAAGTGACTAAGCACAGTAAGGTATATATACTGTAAGGTTGAGAGAAGGAGCCTACACAAGACTAACACATGGAAGATAGTAACCAGCACACTGCTGTGGGTAAGTAAAGTCTCATGGGAAATAGCCTCTTCTGTGCTGGTGGTGGTCAAGGCCAGTGGAGTCACTGAGGCTGGTTATTAGGAAGATAGGATAATTAGGGAAGAGCTAGTCTCCTCCATGTGGAGGTGGTTCTCAAGCTGGCCTTGAAGACCAGGAGGATGTCTGAAAACCAGAAAGCCAAGGAAAAGGATTAGCATCATACATAAGAAGATGGAGATGGGAAAGACTTGAGTGTTCTAGGCTCACGAGGAGCAGGGCTCGTTTGCAGTGAATTGTTCATATTGAGTGTGTTGGTTAGGTAACCCCAGGGCCAGACCATGGAGAATGTTAAAAAGCTGGCTAAAAAGTATAGGATTGAGAGAAGAAATAGAATTCCAATTCCAAGACCCTTTTACCCTCAGCAGGTGATCCAGAACTACTTGTTTCCACAGCTGAACTGATATATACTCATTTGGATCTGCACCTGTTCTTTCCTCTGACTTCAGTGAAAACATCTGTGGACTTCTGTTTACTTCTGTGCTTTCTTCTGTGTGTGTGTGTGTAATGTCCCCCCTTTGAGGACATTTTAAC